CATCCTGTGGAAGCCTTCTCTCATGTCCCTGCATGAGAAGGAGCTGAGAGATGTGAGCTCACCCTGCTCCCCAGATTCAAACTGCTGGCCTTTTGGTCAGCAGTCATGCCGGCACAAGGGTTTAACCCATTGCACTACAGGGTGGATCTTATTGTATAGTAGATAAGAACTATTGACTCCCATCGAGAAAGCAATACCATATTGTGTTTAAGCAGGGAGCACAGAATTCTTGGTGTTTCAGTTTTGTTTTTAATCTGACTAGGCCTTTATTTACTTAGAAAACCTGCTTACCACCACCCCCTTTTGTAATGTAAAGGGAAAAAAATCAAAATGAGGATTAAAAAAAAATGCTTGTCTTTAATATGATCCAAGTTAGTCAAGAGAAAAATGCCAGCCTCAGACATGTTCCTGCTCAAGGTGAATGGCAAGACTGTGCCTGTCTCTGCATTCAACTTGGAACAAAGCCATGCTTTAAGACTGGCAGTAAGTCAGCATCCTCTGCTCCAGGGGTGAAGCACATGTGGTCTTGTAGATGCTGTTGAACTGTGGACCCCATCCACACTGAACATTTAATCCAGTTGAAACAGTGGTAGCCAGAAATCAAAATACACAGAAAAGAAAGCCCTTAATGTGCATCAGTGCTCTGTGGTTTGTGTAATCATCATCCGGGTTTCAAACTGGTTTCATAATTTCCTATGTAATCATATGCCCAGTGGAAGCACCTTCTTCAATAATGGTTTGAAATTGCATTGAATGGTCAGAATATCTCTTTCTGACCCTTGCCAGCCTAGTCAAGTCCAAGAGTGGAAGCCCAACAGCAGAGGTAACCCAACACAGTGAAGGAGATGAACAGCTGCCCACTCCTTTACTGAATCAGACAACATCTGGCTAGTCCTGGGAGGAGCTATGGTCTGTTGCCAATACATTGCCACCACTCTGCTCCTTCTGCCTGGCTACTGCTCACTCAAATGCTGAACTACAGCAGTCCTTGCAGGCTTGGTAGGACAAGGTTTGCCACAGTTCCTAGAATATGTAGCCTAGACAGTGGAATTCTCTGCCTCCTTGCTTGGAGTACGCGTACACTGCAGAATGAATGCAGTTTTACACCACTACCCTAGCTCAATACTATGCAATCCTGGGAATTGTAGTTTGGTGAGGTAACAGCTCTCTTTATCAGAGAAGTCTAAAGACTTTGAAAAACTACAACACCCATGATTCCAAAGCAGGCACGGGCAAACTTTGGCCCTCCAGGTGTTTTGGACTTCAACTCCCACAATTCCTAAGAGCCGGTAAGCTGGCTGGGATTTCTGGGAGTTGAAGTCCAAAACACCGGAGACCAAAGTTTGCCCGTGCCTGTTGTAGAATAATAATAATAATAATAATAATAATAATAATAACAACAACTTTATTTTTATGCCCCGCCTCCATCTCCCTGAAGAGACTTGGAGCAGCTTATGGGGCCAAGCCCAGTAACACAGAGTTAAAACATAGCATATAAAATATAACAGTAATATAAAATAACATTATACCGATAATAAAACAATAAAAAACCATCATAAGTAACAACTAAGGAGATACTTCAAGTCTCATTGTGGGAGGTGGGCTGGAGTGCAATCAGGTTAAAAAAGGCTAATCAGAAAAGTGCAATATAAGGATAGAGCAGATTATAACAGGGACATTATGACTTTTGAAAAGTGCAGCAGCAAGGTGCAGGGCCATAGTCTATTTAGGTCATGGATTAGAGCCAACACTCAAGGGAGTTGTTGTGTCATATAGCGTTGAGTCATGGCAATTAAAGTGGTGTCAAACTGCATTTATTCTAAGTGCAGCTGCTCCTTAGTACAGTATCTATGATGTGATGGGAAAAAACAATTAGGCAAGAAAGCAGTTAATCCAAGTGAGCAACAAGCAAGCATTGCTAACACCATACTCCAAGGCTCTGTTTAACTAAACTGTGATCGAAGAAGGACTTGTGCTGCAACAGCTTCTATACTGATAGCATTGCAAGTAACACAGAAAGTAAAATTTGAATATCTAAATAAAAGCAACCCTCCAGATCTATAGTTTCTGTATCCACAGATTCAACCATCCACAGCTTGAAAATAGCTTTTAACTAAAAGTACAAAGTCTGATTTTGCTATTTTATATCAAGGATACCATTTCACTTCACAAGTTTTGGAGGGGATGGGATCCTGAAACTAAACCCCACCCCACTGAACATGATGATGATGATAATAATAATAATAATAATAATAATAATAATAATAATAATCTGCTCTGTCTTCCCAGAGGGGCGCAGGGCAGATTGCAAACATAAAATGTAAACATTCAATGCCTGAATATAACAATACATCCATACTAACTAAATTTAAGCAACCTGACATATAAACATAAAACTATGATTTTACAACTAAAATTAAATAAAAAACACAGCCTGTTACAACAGACATAAGACAAAACATCAAACATCGAACAGAAACAACATTACAACATTCCTCAACATATTCCCCAACCTAGACACAGCATATAAAAAGAGTGGAAATTTCATTGGCTTGGGAGTGTTGCTCTTTAAACAACTACTAGTTAAATCTTCCACTTTCCTTAGATTTTCTGTTAAAGTAACAGGTGAAAGACCTATAATTGGATTGTCCCATTTCATCACAATTTAGCTTCAAGAACCAACAACAGAACAGGCAGGCTTGGACTTGGATGTTAAGCCTCATTATTGACTATTGTGTTTTTTAATGTACTCGTGGTTTTCAACATTGAAAACCTATTTCATTTTGTCTGTTAATACTTCAAATTCAAATGAATTCCAGCCTTTCTGTGACATCACTGTGACAAACATTAAAAAATAACAATAAAACAAGAACAGCTGTCCTAGTTTGGTGCACATCCTCAGATCATTTTCCTATGCCACATGTACCATAAAACATAAATTATTGTGGGATTAATCAAGTGATCTAAGGATTACATTTAAAAGCAGAAGCATTCTGTTCCAGAAGCATTCTCTCATGATGTTTCACTCACATCTATGGCAGGCATCCTCAGAGGTTGTGAGGTCTGTTGGAAACTAGGCAAGTGGGGTTTATATATCTGTGGAATATCCTGGGTGGGAGAAAGAACTCTTGTCTGTTGGAGGCAAGTGTGAATGTTGCCATCGGTCAGCTTGATTAGCATTGAATAGCCTGGCAGCTTCAAAGCCTGTCTGCTTCCTGTCTGGGGGAATCCTTTGTTGGGAGGTGTTAGTTGGCCCTGGTTGGTTCCTGTCTGGAATTCCTCTGTTTTTTGTGTGTTGCTCTATACTTACTGTCCTGATTTTAGAGGGGGTTTTTTTTACTCTAAAACATTCCACAGATACATAAATCCCACTTGCCTAGTTTCCAACAGTCCTCACAACCTCTAAGAATGCCTACCATAGATGTGGGTGAAACATCAGGAGAGAATGCTTCCAGAACATAGCCATACAGCCTGGAAAATTCCCAGCAATGCAGTGATTCCGGCCATGAAAACCTTTGACAACATACAGAGGAACTCTTTGGTACTTCAAAGCATTCTGCAAAATAACCCTCTGCACATTTACTCAGAAACAACAGAAGTAGTACAGTGTACAAATCCAGTTTACACATAATAATTAAGAGAGAAGAACCAATTAGGGGTGATGACTGGAAAGCATGTAAAACCCATTTATTCATGTGTCCACATACAAGCACAACTCCCACAATATCCATCCATTTATTCACCCAGATACAGTACCACACCCAGCATTAGCTTGGAAATGTTTCTTTTCTGTGCAGCCTCACCCAGAACAACTTATCTGCTCAGAAGAAACACCCCTTAACAGCACCTTACAGGAGTGAGCTTCAGTTGCCTAGCTCTTTATCTGATCAGAATAATCTACCATCCCACCTGATGAAGATAACAGTAAGAGAGAGTTGTATGTCACTAAAATACTAATGGCAATCAATTCCAAAGCTCTGTAGGTATGTGCTTAGCATTTGCGGGGGGGGGGGGGGATCTCTGTAGGTATGTGCTTAGCATTTGCGGGGGGGGGGGGATCTCTATAGAACCCCAAAATCCATGTGGTTGGACAACCTCCAGCTTTTGGAGAAGATCATCTGACCAGGAATTGAGCCACTACAAAGCAGAACTAAACGCACAACAAATACAGAATTACATTGGAATGGGTTCCATGACTGATGGTATTCAAGAAACCCCAAAGATATCGAGGAGAACTAACAGCTGTACTTAAACTCCAATTCTGTCATCTGAGAGAGACTATCATATTGGGTGACTGAGGGCCCTTCCACACAGCCTTATAACCCAGTGTATCAAGGCAGAAAATCCCACAATATCTGCTTTGAACTGGGTTATCTCAGTCGTAAAGGTAAAGGTTTCCTCTTGACATTAAGTCTAGTCGTGTGCGACTCTGGGGGGTGATTCCCATCTCCATTTCTAAGCTGAACAGCCAGCATTGTCCATAGACACCGCCTAGGTCATGTGGCCAGCATGACAGCATGGGGCGCTGTTACCTTCCCACAGAAGCAGTATCTATTGATCTACTCACATTTACATGTTTTCAAACAGCTAGGTTGGCAGAAGTTGAGGCTGACAGCGGGAGCTCCCCAGATTTCAAACTGCTGACCTTTCGGTCAGCAAGTTCAACAGCTCAGTGGTTTAACCTGCTGCACCACTGGGGGCTCCACACTGTCCACACTGCCATATATTCCAGTTCAAAGCAGAAAATGTGGGATTTTATTCAGCTGTGTGGAAGGAGCCGAAGATAGTTTCTGTGCCAGAATCAAGCCTGCAACCTGCTTGAAATTGATCCAAACTATAGCAAAAGCAGATGAACTTGTACCATCAACTAAATTCCACTAAATTCCCAAAATGTATATGCTAAAAACCAACACAAGGCTCCTTTGTTCAAACTGCATTGGTATATTTTTAATCTGAACCAGCATTCAGATTAAACTTAAACAAAGGGCATTTCAAATTACCTTCATAGTTCTGCTCCTGAAAATCTTTTCCAGTGGCTCAAAATATCCGGTAAAGATTAATGTTACCTGAAAGTGGAAAGAATGAGAGAGAAATAGTAATTGTGTCAAACTACCTCTTACTGAATTCAATGTAACTCAACTCCTGGTCTGTGACTGTAATAATAAAACTCATTCATTCGTATTCACAGCACAGCCCGTGTGGGCATGTGCCTTCAAGTTGCCTGTTGGCTTATGCCAACCCCATGAATTTCATAGCTTTCTTAGCTAAGGTAGCTTTTGCCAATTTCTTCTTCAGTTTGAAACATTGCCCGCAGCACCTGGTATTCATTGGTGGACTTCCTTCCAAGTACAAACCGGATCAGACATGGGTATGACATCAAAAGGAGCAGAGAAACAGAGAGCATTTACACCAGGCATGGGCAAACTTGGGCCCTCCAGGTGTTTTGGACCTCACCTCTCAGCATTCCTAACAGCCTCAAGCCCTTTCCTTTTCCTCCTCAGCTGCTTAAGCTGAGGGGGAAAAGCTGAGAGGTGAGGTCCAAAACACCTGGAGGGCCCAAGTTTGCTCATGCATGCTCTACAGTATAGCATTAATACTATATGGCTCAATGCTAAGGATTCCCAAAGTTGCCTTACAATGCTTCCAGCCGTCTCTGCCAAAGAGTCTTGGTGTGGACCTCACAACCTCTGAGGATGCTTGCCACAGATGCAGGCGAAACGTCAGGAGAGAATGCTTCTAGAACACGGCCATATAGCCCGAAAAACCTACAACAACCCAGTGATTCCAGCTACGAAAGCCTTCGACAATACAGTCTTGGTGTGCCACTAAACTACACTTCCCAGGATTCCATAGCACTGAGTCATGGCAACTAAAGTGGTGCTGAACTGTGTTAACTCTGCAATGTAGAAGCCCTGGAGAACTGCACTCCATCAAGAAGCACCTAGCAGCGCTAGGAACCAGGCAGGCCTCATCACAGCGTATTGCAGTAGTCTATTCACTAAGCTACAAACCCCAGAGTTTTGCAGGATCCATTTAAAGAGGATCCATTCTCTAGTGTGATGAAGAAAGAAAGACAATAGGGAGGGAAGGAGAGAAGGGTCAGAAAGGCGTGGGAGGAAAAACCTGGCACCAAAAGGAGCCACCGGGGATATTTCTAAACAGCAGGCGCATTCCGGAGGGAGGCATTCCTCTTCTTCTTCTTCGGGAGTTGAGACATTCGGGGAATTCGTGGAGGACTTTCCCGCTGCCTGACGACTTTGGTTTCAAGGGAGGGAGGAAGGAGGAAAGGAGGCAAGCAAGTGAGGAGCCCAGACCTTGGAGAGATGCCTGCGCGGAGCCAGGTCAGGCGTCCTGAAGGAGAAGAAGAAGCAGAGCGGCCGAGGCGGAGAAAGGAGGCTTCTCTTTGGAGCGCCAGCCACCTGCTTGGCCGAGGGAAGTCTCCGAAGTTTCCTCTCCCGGAGAGAAAGCGGAGAAGCCTCTCCCCCTCCCAGGCATTCCTCCGGCTGCAAAGAAGACGGCAAGGCTCTCAGTACCTTCCGCGGACAGGGCTGCGCGGTGGCCGCATCCTCGCCACCGGGGGACCCAGCCCAGGACCCCGAAGCACACGCGCCGCTTCCCCGGAGGCGCCAAGGGAGGCCAGCGAGAGAGAGCCTACCCCCCCCCCCCCCCCCCCCCCCCCCCCCCCCAGCCGCCACCGCCTCTCCTCCTCCTCCTCCTCCTCTTTCTCTTTGGCTGCAGCCTTCCAGGGGGCGGGACGGGGGCGTGGCCACTTTGGCCTCAGAAGACGAAGAAGAGAAGGCTCCAGGCATGGGCAAATTTGGGCTGCAACTCCCACCATTCCTAACAAGGTAATAGTATGAAAGCTGGGTCCGGAAGGTCTGCGCGTTATGCTGTTCCCGCTTCGCCTTTGGGAGCGCTGTTTGCGCAACGCAGAATGGAACACAGATATTATAGAAGGAATATAAAGGTTCTTTAATGGTCAAACCCCAACCCTTACTCGAACCCTAACCCTAGCCCTAATCTTTAACCTTAACCCTAACCCTTACCTCAGGGCCGTAGCCAGGATTTTGATTGCGGGGGAGGGCTGAGTTTGATTCGAGGGGGGGCTGAGGATCTACCCTAGCAAACCTTTTGTATCGTTACCCCAATACCCCCATGCATATGGGATATATTGAGCATGGTGATCAGATCATGATATGAATAACATAACAGTTTAAATAATGTACCAGTAAGGCCTTCTCGCAGACCACCATGAGAATTTCGGGGAGGGGGGGCTGAAGCCAAGCCCCTCAAACCACCCCCCCCCCCCGCTACAGGCTTGCCTTACCCCAAACCTTACTCTAACCTAACCCTTCACCCTAACCCAAACCCTAATCCTAACCTTAACCCAAAACTTTACCCTAACCCTAATCCTATCCCTTACCCTACCCCAAACCCTAACCCTTACCCTAAGCCTTAACCCTAACCCTTAACCCTAATCCAAACCCTAAACCTTACCTAACCCAAACCCTAACCCTTACCCTAATCCTAACCCTTACCCTAAACCTTACCCTAACCCTTAATCCTAATCCAAACCCTAAACCAGGGGTCCACAAACTTTTTAAACAGAGGGCCAGGTCACAGTCCCTCAAACTGTTGGAGGGCCGGATTATAATTTGAAAAATGAAAATTCCTATGCACGCTGCACATATCTTATTTGTAGTGTAAAAAACACTTAAAACAATACAATAATTAAAATGAAGAACAATTTTAACAAATATAAACTTATTAGTATTTAAATGGGAAGTGTAGGCCTGCTTTTGGCTGATGAGATAGGATTGTTGTTGTTGTGTGCTTTCAAGTTGTTTCAGACTTAGGTTGACCTTGAGCGAGGGCCGGGTAAATGACCTTGAAGGGCCGCATCCGGCCCTGGACCATAGTTTGAGCCTCACCCTAAACCTTATCCTAACCCTAACCCTTAACCAAACCTTACCCTAACCCTTAACCCTAATCCAAACCCTAAGCCTTACCATAATCCTAACCCTAACCCCTAACTCTTACACAAACCCTAAACCTTACCCTAACCCTTACACTACCCCAAACCCTACCCCTTACCCAAACCTTAACCCTAATCCTAACCCTAACCCTTACTCTACCCCAAACCCTACCCCTCACCCTAAACCTTATCCTAACCCTAACCCTTAACCAAACCTTACCCTAACCCTTAACCCTAATCCAAACCCTAAGCCTTACCATAATCCTAACCCTAACCCCTAACTCTTACACAAACCCTAAACCTTACCCTAACCCTTACACTACCCCAAACCCTACCCCTCACCCTAAACCTTATCCTAACCCTAACCCTTAACCAAACCTTACCCTAACCCTTAACCCTAATCCAAACCCTAAGCCTTACCATAATCCTAACCCTAACCCCTAACTCTTACACAAACCCTAAACCTTACCCTAACCCTTACACTACCCCAAACCCTACCCCTTACCCTAAACCTTATCCTAACCCTAACCCTTAACCCAAACCCTAAATCTTACCCTGACCCTACCGCAAACCCTAACCCTAAACCTTACCCTAACCCTCCCCTCCTTTCTATCTATCCTTCCACCAAATGCAACTACAAAGTATATTCCCTCCCTCCTTGTGCTGCTCTCCCCTTCCCTTATTCACAACCACAGTTGCGGTATGTGCTTAATGCTCGGACCCAGCTATCATACTACCACCCCTAACAGCCTCAGGAAATGCCAGGAGGGCTCAAGTTTGCCCATGTTAGGAATCAAGAGCTATTAGGCTCAAAATAACACTCACTTGGGGTGATTCCACAAAAATACAGCAGAGTGCCAGAAGCACAGTTCATAACCAGCAGAAGCTTAGGTGTAGAGAACAAGGATTAGTTTCCATTTAGCAGGATGGAACAGGATTGCAGATCCACAACTTCATAGGTCCTAAAAATAATGCATTAAAGTCAAAAGAAATCAATTCTGGATAGGAAAGGTCCTTGGAACTAACTAGCTTCACTGAGGAAAAAAAGGGGGGGGGGGCAGCCATGTCCACTACATCTTGCCTGGAGAATGGCAAGATGCGTCCTCACTGTAGGAGAGCAAAGGACCCAGAAAAATGGAGACAGGCCACATGGCCAGCCCAGAGCAATAAAAATACCTTTAAAGAGGAAATTATGTCTTCCCTGAAGATATCACATTGCTGTTCCTTTTTCCTTCCATTTTCCCCGGCATCATTATCTTCTCCCAAGCTTTCCTGTCTTCTCATTATGTGGCCAAAGTACTTCATCTTTGCTTCTAATATCCTTTCCTCCAGTGAGCTGTCAAGCTTTATTTCCTGGAGTATGGACTGCTTTGATCTTCTTGCGATCCAAGACACTCTCAGAATTTTCCTTCAGCACCACAGTTCAAAAGCGTCGCTTTTCCTTTGCTCAGCCTTCCTTATGGTCCAGCTCTCATCATTAGAGTTCAATATAGTCACAGCTCTGGGATGAAAGCTCTCTCTCAGCCTATTTGTCCTAGTTTTTTTTATCATCCTACCTACACTGTGTTGGAAATAGCAACCTTCCAAGCCTCCACTAACTGTTTGTAAATGTGTATAATTGTTAATCTATATTGTATGTACATTTTGGTTTGCCAGCTTGACTGTACCTCTTTGGTGTGGGAGGGGCTTCAGGCACAGGACTCCATTTTTGTTATATAGTATGCTAGTAACGTAATGCTCAAGACCCTGAAAGGTTTAGTTGTTTATTCATTCAGTTGCTTCCGACTTTTTGTGACCTCGTGGACTATCCCATGCCAGAGCTCCCTGTCGGCCATGGCCATCCCCAGTTTCTTGAAGGTCAAACCAGTCACTTCAAGGATACCATCCATCCATCTTGCCCTTGGTTGGCCCCTCTTCCTTTTTCCTTCCATTTACCCCAGAGTCATCATCTTCTCCCAAGTTTTCCTATCTTCTCATGATGTGGCCAAAGTACTTCATCTTTGTTTCTAATTTCATTCCCTCCAGTGCGCAGTCAGGCTTTATTTCCCTGGAGTATGGACTGATTTGATCTTGCGGTCCAAGGCACTCTCAGAATTTTCCTCCAGCACCACAGTTCAAAAGCATCTATTTTCCTTCGCAAAGCCTTCCTTATGGTCCAGCTCTCACATCCATAGGTTACTACAGGGAACACCATTGCTTTAACTATGCGGATCTTCGTTGCCAGTGTGACGTCTCTATTCTTCAGTATTTTATCGATATTGGTCATTGCTCTCCTCCCAAGAAGTAAACGCCTTCTGATTTCCTGGCTACAGTCTGCATTCTGCAGTAATCTTTGCACCAAGAAACTCAAAGTCTGTCACTACCTCCACATTTTCTCCCTCTATTTACCAATTATCAATCAGTCTAGTTGCCATCATCTTGTTTTTTTCGATTTTTAGCTGCAACCCAGCTTTTGCACTTTCTTATTTCACTTTGATTAGAAATCTCCTCAGCCCCTCCTCGCTTTCAGCCATCAAAATTGTATCATCTGCACATCTAAGGTTGTTTATGTTTAGTCCAGCAATTTTAACTCCAGCTTTGGATTCATCAAGCCCCGCATGTTACACGATGTGTTCCTCTAACTCCAGTGTTTCTCAATCTGGGGATCAGGACCCCGGGAAGAGAGGGGGTCATGAGGCGGTTTCAGAGGAGTCTTCAAAGACCATCAGAATCCTCCCAACAAAACCCTTCCTTTGCTGTGATTGACTGGCCTCTCAGCCAGGAAGGGCTGTTTCTGAGACTCCAAGCAGGGAAGGGAGAGCAGGCATGCTCGGTGCATGGCAGTTTGAAGGAGAGCATGTGAAGCTGGAATGAGGCTTGCACCAGCAAGTCCCTTCAAGGCAAGTGGGTTCCCTGTGGGAAGTTTGGCCCAATTCTGTTGTTGTTGGGGTTCAGAATGCTCTTTGATTGTAGGTGAACTATAAATTCCAGCAACTACAACTCCCAAATGTCAAGGCCTAATTTCCCCAACCCTACCAGTATTCAAATTTGGGCGTATTGGGTATTTGTTCCAAATTTGGTCCAGTAAATGAAAATACATCTGCATATCAGATGATATTGTGCAGTTTAGTGTAGTCCAAATGTTTATGTGGCTTTTCTTACTCATAACCATAGTTAGGTGACATCACACATGAAAATACATCATGCCAAAATGACAGCTTTGATAAAGGTGAGTTGTTTAACTTGAAGACAGTCTCCTGATCATAGAGTTTATAATGAAAGTACAAGTCATTTTGAACTTGAATACACCCTGCTCTCTACTCTAAAAGTTTCCTACTGGTTGATCAGCCTTCTTAGGACAACATAAATGTGACTTCCTTATCCCAATACTGATGGCATGGCATGTTTTAGAAATGCTTCCAAACAAATCTGTAAACCTGTGATAGTCATCCTTGATTCATGGAATTTTACAGGAGGTTCAGATAATATTGTCTTGCACTTCTAACCCTTCTGTGTTGTCTTTAATGGAAAAAAAGATGAGACAGGCACACATGTTTGACTGGTCATACTAGATGTCCTTTGTCCAGAAAAATCCTAGATGTCATATAATAGCACTTAACAGAAAGTTTTCCAGAGATTTCCATTTTTTCTGGGGTTCATTGCATTATTAGGTATTGCTT